GTAAATTTTTCGATACAAATTAACAAAATGATTAATAAATGAAAGTCTGAAAGCATAATTGTCAACAGTAATGTTAAGTCATGGAAGGAATAACCATTACCGAGAGTGGCCACTGACCAAGCAAAAGATATGGCGGTCGACATTTACATTTGGGGGCAGAGGAAGTCAGGTAAGAAATGACTACAGCGAGAGGTGATGAGGTAATAATCTCTGAGATACCTTTTGTTTTTTTAACACGTGTAAATGTCATAATCTTTACCTATTTAGCTCCTAATTACTACTACTACTACTTTGCCTGTGTCCGGGACATGTCTTGTCTACGTACGTTGCTTTGCATCACTTTTCACAATTGTGGGGATTTTAATTTTTCTAAATTCAGCTTATTAATTTATATCATCATAACTTTTACTACTATTTCGGAGGTTGTCTTTGACACAAGGTTAAAACTTTATCGTGGGGTAATAATTACTGAAGTGAATATTGAGAAGTTTTCATTAAAAAATCTAATAAAAAACCGAAATTTTTTGTTCTAAAAACCAAAAAATAAATAACATTTTTTTGTCGGATTTGGTTTTGATTTTTATGAATTTTATTAATAAAAAATCAAATCAAATCCATTGAAACCAAAACTGAATAAACGAATGTTCATCTTTAATAATAGCAACCACGACCAAATAGGTTTTATATGTAAAAATATTCTTAAACAATATAATATTTATTTATAATATACTAGATTTCTTGATCCCTTCCTAATTTAAAATTATTTGAGAATCTTTCTTTGTATTCTAAATTTTAGTTTTAAAATTTCTATACTTTGTAATATTTGAAATCAAGTTCTTCTACTACTTTTTTCTGTATTCCTTCCATATTTTTCATATAAAACTGATAAAATAACTCAAACACCCTCAATTTGAACAATATTTTGACCTAATTGATCAATTTAAAATTTTATAGATAAAATTTAATATCCAAAATTTTATTTTTCAATTAAGTAAAAAAAAAAAACGAAGAAATTATTCTAAGACTATTGATTTTTTTAAAGACAAAGAAGAAAAGATATTTAGGCTATAAGTTTTTTAAAAAAATTAAAATTAATCAACATGAAAGATGAAGAATTAAAATGATGACACTAAATAAAATTAATTTAAATTGAACTTTTATTAAAGCAAAGATCATATAGATCTAGAACTTTATTATATTTATGTCAAAAAATCATCACAATTTAAAAGGTTAAATTATTGTGTTAAATTTTATATTATACTTTAATATATATCCTTAAGTAAAAGTTTTTCGAACTTGAAAACCTAAACATTCTTATCGTTATCTTATATTTAATTATTTAATTTTAATTAGAAGAGAAAATGTATGTGATAAGATTTGAATTCATGACCGTTTGATCATTACAATCCTAATATTATATAAAAATTTTTAAACTATTAAATGAAGTTTAATAAATAATTTTTTATTCCCATTTAAATGAAAAAGAAAAGAAGAACAAGGGAGAAAGAAACGAAAATAAATGAAATAAAAAAGGATTGTGTGCCCTTTAGGATATAATGCTTATAGTAGCAGGGTTAGAGTTTATGAATAAATTATAAATTAGTCATTCTTATTTTGAGAAACAAGTTAATTAATTTTTTTAGTTTCAAAAACTAATCATTTAGTCTTTTTAACTAATATTGACCATGACCTATTTAATATTTTTTATTTTATAGAATATCTTCTTTTATCATAATCTTTTCATAATTTTACACACACTATATATTATTTCTTAAGACAAAAAATCAAAATAAATTAAAAAATAAAAAAGATTAAATAATTAGTTTTTGAACTAGAAGGGCTAATTAATTCATTTCTTGAAGTGAAAGGGATTAATTTATGATTTACCAATTATCTATGGTTTAAATGGCCTAAACCTTTCTTGAATTCTAAGTCATTAGAGAATTAGTCTTTTCATTTTTAATTTTAGATTGAATTTTACTTTAATTATTTTTTATTTAAAATTCGCTATTTTGTTAGATTTTCACTTATTTTAACGGTGAAAATTTATGTATTTATACATGACTGACTTTTTAACTTTATCACTAGCTAAAAATATATTAAAACTTTTAAATACTTTGTTTTTTCTTTTAAATTTTATTTATTTCATTCTAAAATTTTCTTTAGTCGCTTATTTTTTTTAGTATTTAGAAGGAAAACAAGTTTTGAAGGAAAAAAATAAAATATTTATTAGCTTTAGTATGTTTTTAGCTGGTTAGGAATTGTAGTATATGTTAAAATCAATAGAATATCTAATAAAAAGATTTAATTTTGAATAAAAATTAATTAGAAAAAGGTTCAAAACTAAATAATTAATTTTAAATGATTTAAAATTCAAAAGAGAGTCGCAGGATTCGCGTTATCTAGTTATCTGCCGCTTGATAACTTTAAAAGTAATTTCAATTACTATGTTTGTTTCAGTGTGGGGCTCGTTATGCGGTGGATGTGCTAATTATTGGATTTGACCATAATTTTCTGTTTATCTCCATCATCAAAACCCATTGAAATTTCTTTCACGGACCCATTGGGGACACAAAAATTGAATTCATGATTCTGACATTTTTGTCTGCTAAATTTAACGTGCATACCAAGTTAGAATTTGGACGTTTTATTACTCACATTTGAATAATAATTTCTTTTAAATTTATGATCAGAGGTATTTTAGAATTAATTTTAATATATTTGAGACTACGTCATGGGTCCAATAAAAAGCGAACCATACAAACTATCGGCATTAAGACTAAAAATTTGTGAGAGCAATGATAAACAAGCTACTTTATCATTTTCGCATAGATGATTTTTGTTAAGTTATATTAATGGGAGATAATTGTATCATCAATAATTGATTGATATAATTAATATGGTACCTTATTCACCCATCACTTGATTTAGTAAAAACTTTATGATGATTCTAGTATTATTATTATTAATTTTTTTTTTTTTGCAAAATTGGAGTAATCATTTTATGTTGGCAAAAACTAACACGTGCCTTTAAAACACTCATTAAATATTATTTAAATACATTTATTATATTTTTTTATTATTAGAATGTCATAAAAATAAAAATAAACATTTGAATGAAATGAATGGTTTGAATTGATTATAGACATCAAGTGAATGACATTTTATATGATAATATTTTTAAGTATTTTTAATATATTTTATAACTAAAAAGAAAATTAAAGATTTATTTAGAGCATTGAATGATTCTAAACAAATACTCTAAAACCATCAGTTAACCGATCCTCTTATGTGTTTAACCTAAAACTTTAATCCTTTTGTATACTATCTTCAATAAATTGATAATATTAAAAAAAAAACAATTGTATTAGTTTTAAATTTCTTAAAAAATGAAAATTTTAATTACTTAACTAAAATAAAGAAACAATAAATAAATACACGGCCAAGAGTGACTATTGCTATCCTTGATAGAACCGTCCTGGAGATACTAAAATTTTTCTACTAAACTTTAGATTTGTTTTGACGTGTACCAAACTTTTTATCAATCGATGTGACAATTCATGATGGCTAATAAGCTATTTAATGCTGGTATGCATTACTGTTCAGATCTACATAACGAATAAATTTAACATGAAAATTTCACCATGAACCATTTGCTTTTGTATAGTAATTGCTGCAATTAATGTTTTTTTCTTTTCGTCTCAAATGATAGATATAAGTGTTTTTATTTATTATTATTATTATTATTATTTTAAAATGAGATATAATCGTTAATCGAATTATAAGTTAATTTATATCGATAATTTAATTGAACTAAATACAATTCCAAGCTGAACTACGTGTTTTATTCAATAATATTTTGAAACTAATTTATATTTTAATTGAAATTATTTTTTTTGAAAGATTTTAAAGATATTCTCTTTACACCTAAAATTGTTGATCTTAAAATTTAAACTTAAAAAATAAAAAAATAATATAAAAACTTTTTCCACCACAAGGGCAATCTTTGAGTTGAGTGCAAGTTGAACTAAAAACATATCAGCATTGATAATTAATGAGGCACTGCTCAGGAAACAAATTACCCTCAAAATTTTACTGGACGAAGCTAAGCGTACTGTAGACGTACGTTAAAGCTAACGGCGATTATCAAAACCTGGCAATTATTGTACTCTAACTCATTGCGTGTCTACTCCAACCAAAAAGAACCTTCACCGGATTCTCTCTGGGAAATGAAAAATCCTTGGATCCTGATGGGTTGCTTTCAAGAACAACCATAGATTTGTTTAAAAGTTTCTACTGCATATATAGGTTCAGGTACAACTTTAACTTGTTTATCAGAATTTTCTTAAAGATTGATTTCTGGTTTGGTCACTGTTTAAGTTTTTTCGTCAAGTATAAGTATATTCTCTTGCTTATCTTTTTCTTTCTTCAATTGGACCTTCACCCCATGTTCGTGTCTGTATTTATCTAGTTTTTTTTTTTTTATGTAAAATACTGATGACATGCACGAAGGATTTTTTTTCTTTTTGTTCTTATGGGATTAGGGTTATTAGTGTTTTGACGTGAAGTATAATTAAGATGATATTCGAGTAATGTTTTAGCTCTTAGTTTTGTCAAATACTAGTGGGGAGTAATTTGTAAGATTCATTTTGAAGAGTACTGAAAGTGGAAGAACTTTGGCACTATTTACTTTGGTGAGGAAAGCTCTACAGTTCTTGTACTGTAACAATATGGATGTGACAAAGAAAACAAAAAGGTATAAACAATGAGAAAAAAGCGAACAAGTTTTGCTGTCTAAGTGGTGAAGCTCCTTCAGTGGATGTGGATTGCTTCCAGTTGTGTTTTGTTTCCTTTATTCTAGATGTATGTGATCTTTTTTACTGATCATTATCTTTTTTTTTCCTCTTTTTTTGTATTATCTATGTCAGTACTGCTTCTCTTGCTGTGTGTGTGTATTAGAAGATCATATTATTATCTTCTAATAAGGTGGCATAAGAGCAATGGGTGATTATTTAATGTGATTGTATTGCAGGAAGTAGATGGAATGTCATAACATTTAGTTGTCTAATGAGGTTACTAATTAAATGATTCTAGTCTAGGTAGGAGCATCAAAGGCTCGAGTAGCTTCCTTGGATTGGATGGAAACAAAAGGTTTTGGGCTTGAAACACATGTAGCGCAGCAAAGCCGGAGAGATAAGTTGAGATTTCAACAAAGTTTAACTTTAGTCCAGCATCTAGACGACTTCTCTAACAATTTGGATCAATTGGCAGTCGCTCCTGGGCTAACCCCAGATCTTGTCCAGGTTCGACATGTTGGGAACGGAAATATACTTTATGACCCAACTTTGCTTTCCTCTGCAATGCTCAATTTTGCAACAAGTTCTAATGTTTTATCAGCTCAAAGGGATGCAATGGTTGATCAAGAAATAGGTCAAGCACACCTCAATCGCCCCATTGCAGTCGAGGATTCTTCGTTCTCCAGTATGTCTCACCCAGTTTTGTCGAACTTAAATGCTTCACCTACAGCCAGTAATGGTGATGCACAGGGATGTAGCAACTGGACGAAGCTAGGTTCAGAGCATAGTTATGATTTGACTGTTGATTACACAGGTGGATCAGTAGTTGCGGAGAGGAATCAGAAACTGATGTCTGCTGGGGATGTCCTGTCAAATAATGCAAGGGTAACCACCATTTCTACGTATCCACAGTATTTGAAGCCTGGTTACAATGAATACCGAGATATTGAGCTTCAATCTTCTGTAGTCAATCCCTCAGATGAATTTTCTAGTCAAGATAGCCAAAAGCAGTTCCGGGAAGTGCAGTTTACCACTCATCCACTTTACCAAAATACACTGCAAGACGTTGTTACATCAGGATTGATTGGGAGAACTAAAGAATGTATTCTCCATCCATCGTGTGAAGATCAATCAACCGCTTTACATTTTAATAATGTCAATGCTTGGTTAAGAAGGCCGACTGAGAACTCCCATCAATGGAGTGGTGAGTTGGGTCTTATTACAAGGAAGAGCTCCCAAGAGCTGGGGATTGTTCCAAATGATGATAATACTCAGGGCTTATCTTTGTCTCTTTCGTCAAATCGGTCATCTGAAGTCAATGAAACTCAGTTTGGAGAAGCATATGAATCTGAGTGTTTGCAATCAAAGAATGGCTTTCCCCAAGAACCTCATCACGATTCAAAAGTTTCCAAGGCAAGTTATCTGTGTCCGTTGCCAAGGTCATCAAATCTCAGTCTCTGTCCATTGCCAAGGCCATCAAATCAAAGCAAAGGTTGCGGAAAATCATTACAAGACTTACCGGGGAATGCTACAAATATTCTTCGAAATACTGGTCCTCTTGGGCCTTTCACTGGATATGCAACTATCCTAAATAGTTCTAGATTCTTCAAGCCAGCTCAAGAGCTATTGGATGAATTCTGTGGGGAGAAGGGTCTGAAACTCATAAGAACATGCGAGTTGCCCAAGAGGATACGTGAAGAAGCTAGTCCTCCAGCTTTGAGTGAAGCTGTTAATGCAGCTGATACAGGCGATGAGGCTAATGATGGAAATAATTTAGGTGCTTCATCCTTAACTTTTCGCAGATCAAATGAAGAAATTGGTGATTGTGGAGTAGGAAACAGTTCTTCTGGATCTTATAGGCCAGAGTACCAACAAATGAAGGCAAAGCTCCTATACTTGCAGGAGGAGGTTGGTTACACGATTCTCTCTCTCTCTCTCTCACACACACACACACACACACACTTTCCGCAAGTGAAAATATATATCCACATTTCCTTGTACTAATAGAATGATGGTGCCATCATCTCACACTTTTCCTTTTGCTTTCCTGGCAAAATGAAAGATCATTACATTGATGAAAAAAAAAAAAAAAGGATGACACGAGGTTAATTGGAGTCTCTTTGGCTTAACTATATCGGAGTCTCTTTCGAGTTGGTTGAGTTGCTACTTAACTACAAGTAACAGCTTGCTTTATATCACATTTGTTGCATATAATGAACAACAGGCTTTCGTGATTTTTCCATGTGGACCTATGTTCCAAGAGTTCAATTTTCCAAGTGCTTGGAAATATCACATTTGTCTTGGTTAGAGGCTAGGTGAAGTAGTTATAAACCTTTAAAGGAGGCTTGACTCAGTACTACCTTACCAAGAATGTTATAGGCATAATTAATATAATAACACGGCTATAAAAAATAAAATAGTGTGTTTCATGAATAATGACATAAAAAAGTATGCTCAAAATCCACGTGGAAAATTTTTAACCTTGGATAAAACTCAAGTCACAAGCTGTATAAAATTGTAAAGAACACAAACAAATCTCTGCTGAAAAACAAACCTGTTAATTGGAAATAAGTTACATTTCTAGAAAAGGAAAACATTCGGGTTGGAGAACAATGATAAGCAAGATATAATTTTTGGGACTGGGGAAGAGAGGAAGAGAATTGGGATATAGGGTTAGATAAGGTCTGTAATAGGCAATGGTGATAGAAAACTGAAGGCAGAGTATTGTGTCATTACACACTGGAAATCTGGAAAATTTCCTACGAGATATTTTTCTTTCTAAGAATTTTAACATCGAATCTGAACTTCCTTTGTATGATGAACTTGTGAATCAGTTCTGAATGCTGTATTTTGCACTCAGAATATTCTATGATTATTTCTTTGTCCTTAGGAACAATTGTAGTCTCAAGACTATATGTTATGTTAGTAAATTGAATGGGCCATTCTGCTCTTCTTTAGTTTCAAAACCTAAGAGGACTTTCAACTTAGAGATGTTTTTAGGGATAGGAGATTGCATATTCTGTAAGCTGAGCCATACTGGGGTCAGAGAAGGATTTGTAGTTCCTGCTTGTATTCTGCTGAAATAAATTGGTTTAAGTAAAATAAGCAATCATTGCAGGACTTTCAACTTTGATGGTACTTTAATGGAAACATCAGAGGACTCTGATAGTCTGTGGTCATTTAAATATGGTTAGGATAGTCTCCCTTGTGCAATCAATAATTAACGCTAGGAATCCTTTCCTCCTCGGAGCAGAAACATCATGCCAATTATGTCTCAGTTAACAGTACAGTTTTCCAAAGTCACTATGCCAGTCAAAAACCAAATAATTTGTCTTTTTAGGACACCATTTCTGCCGTGAAATAAGGAGGTCAGATCAGCAGCATCTTAAACTTGCCCTCCCCCTTACCCCCCACCAAAAAAAAAAAAAAACACCATTTCTACCGTGAAAAAAGGAGGTCAGACCAGCAGCATCTTAAACTTGCCCAGCCCCCCCACCCCACCAAAAAAAAAAAAAAAAAAACACGTCACTGTTGATTGTTTCCACTTTGATAGAAGTTTTGTGAACCACAAAAAGAATGTCTAATGGAATTACCAACCAAGTTGTATGTGTTTTATGTCATTACTGGTAATGAGATTATCTCATAACACGTAAGTTGTATGTATTGTATGCTTGTTTTTTTTGAGAAACTTGGCGTAATTTATAACACCTCCAACCGAGAATGTTAGGGAGTAAATGCTTTTGGTGATCTTGTGAATTTCGAGAATGTCGGCTTAATTTTTGGCACCTGCTGCCGTTCATACTTTGAAAAGCATTTTTGTGACTATGCTGCACTGTTTTTTAAAAGGTTTGCAGAAGGTACAAGCAATATCATCAGCAGATGCAAATGGTGGCTTCATCTTTCGAATCAGTTGCTGGTCTTAGTGCTGCCACCCCCTACATTTCTTTGGCTCTCAAGGCAGTCTCAGGGAATTTTAGGTCCTTAAAACATGCCATCTCCGATCAGCTCAAGCATGTTACAAAAGCCATAGGAGAGAATCTGTTCTCCCCAAATACATTTGGAAGCAGTACTGCTGGGAGCTTCAGATACAAGGACTATCAAAGCTTTCAGAAGAATAAATCTGGTGGGCCAAATGTGGGTTACCTTGAGCCCCAAGAACACATATGGAGGCCTCAAAGAGGCCTACCGGAACGTGCAGTCGTGATTCTCAGAGCTTGGCTGTTTGAACATTTTCTTCACCCGTAAGCCCCCTCCTCTATAATCCTTGTTTTGTAGTTTGGTGTGAACCTATTTATTATATCAAATTTCTTTGTGTAGATACCCCACAGACACAGATAAGCACATGCTAGCCACTCAAACAGGTCTATCTCGAAACCAGGCAAGTCTGCTCCTTGCTCATCTCTATAATCATTTCTTTCCAAGGCTGCAAGGCACTTTGGCTGATCGAAGTAACACATTTCTAGGCTCTGCATTAACATTTTCCTGCACAACAGCAATGAAAATAAATCTCAGCTAAGTTTGGATATTACAACACAAATCTGATAAAATCTTTAAACATAAGACCTCCAGAATTTATCTAATTGAGCATGGATGGTTTTCTGGAATATATTGTTGGCCTTTTTATTTGAAATATCAATCTTTCAATGTATAATAGTTCTTGGAAGTTCTTGAAGTTGAACGTGATGTTCATAATAGTATTGACATCTAAGTTAAGAAATCAAGCCTTTTAATATTATCAATCACATTCTATTACATGAAAATTTATTATTTGCATGTACACCTTCCTGCTTGGTTCGGAAAGTTCAATGACAAATGTCAATGAAAATTTTTTATTTGATAGAGAAACGGTAATCAGAACGCTTTATTTATTTTTTGTTACTGTGTAAAAAAAGTTGACTGATTGCTTCAGGTGTCAAATTGGTTCATAAATGCCCGGGTGCGGCTCTGGAAACCTATGGTTGAAGAAATACACACACTCGAAACCAAAGGTTTGTTGGAAAACAATCAAAGTTCTGGGAAGAATGGTGGGAATTCTACTGAGCCTCCCTGCCAGCCAGATGGTGATCACCAAGACTCCAAAAAGCCCGGTACAAATTACCTACTTAGTAAACAATTGGAATTCTCTGGTATTGGCTCCTCAGGAGGCAGTGGAGATCAACTAGATGCAGAACAGTGGAATCAAGAAAAGAGATTGAGAATGGAATTTCAGGTTCCGATGAGTGCAGACAGATCGCTGATGAATTTTATGCCATATCAGAAAACTGGGAGTGAAAATGGAGGAGGCCTTGGCGCTGTTTCACTTACTTTGGGTCTAAGGCATGGTGTTGAAAATGCACAACATCAACAACTGCAACAAAATGAGAACCGGCTTAGGCGGCCATTTGGAGGTCAGAGGATTCATGATTTTGTGGGCTGATTAAAAGAATGTCTTCTGATTAGTGGGAGTAGTAAGAAAATTGAAAGGGATAGAAGAAGCAAGCTTCTTTTGGCCATCTTCTATCCTGCATTGACAAGGAAAATTGGTGGTGATACCTGGACTGTATTGAAGATTTCAGTGTCAGTTTTTTCGGTGACGGATTTTTTATATTTATAGATATATATTTATAGCTTGAATAAATGGTACTACGTATTGCAATATCTGGTGCTTAATTACTTGTTGGAGTAAATTATAAACTAGTCTCTTTAGTTTCTTGAACCGAATTAGTTAATCTCTCATGTTTCAAAAAATAATTATGTAGTTTTAATTTTTAAAATTTTGTTCTAACTCAATCTTGTTATTTTTCAATTTATTTTGATTTTTTTGTTTCAAGAAATAAAAAATATGAGAGGAAACTTATAAAAGATGGCATTTTTGAAATAAATTAACATTAGTTAAGCACTAAATAATGAGTTTTGTTTGAAAAAAGACTTATTTTTTGGCAAGGGATGCACATAAAATACTCTTGATTCTATTTTAACACAGCCTCACCAAACTTAGTGGTAATATTCAATATCAGATTCATTTATTTATATGTAATTTTAAAATCATTAATTAATTTTTAACGGCTTTTCTATGAAAGTATTTCAAAATCCATGAAATTTGTTGGTATATTTTTTTAATAAAATATTAAAAATTACATTAAGTGTTCATGAAAAATAATTAAAGCACATGTTACTTAATTATTACTTATTATTTTGAAACCGTTGAAAGTTTCATTTTCAATAGGGCAGTTAAATATTCAATTGCAAACGGCTTTCTTGACATTTATCAGCAATGTTTTTCTTTTTTTACTGTTTTCAGAAAAAAATGATAATACTTAAAAAATAATTAGTGACATATATAATAATTTCATGAATCAACTTAAAGAAGAGAGATAGACATATAAAATTACATCCAGATCCATCAAAAGTGATAGTAAGATTTTCACGTTTGTTCAATTTTTTTTAATTCTCTCTCCCCTGTTTATTTATTTATTTATTTTTTTGGTCTATCTCTTTTGCAAACGGCTTTCTTGACATTTATCGGCAACGCTTTCTTTTTCTTACTGTTTTCGTGGAAAATTTTATAATACATAAAGAGTAACTAATGGTATATATAGTAGTTACTTCCGAATCTACTTAATAGAGAGAGATAGACATATAAAATTAAATTCGGATCCATAAAAAATGATAATAAGATTTTCACGTTGGTTCAATTTTTTTAATTTTCTCTCTCCTGTCTTTTTTTTTTTTTTGTCTATCTCTTTTCTCTAAGTGAATCTATGGAACAACTATCGTACATGCCATTAGTTACTCCTTAAATTTATAAAATTTATCCCATTTTTAGCATTTATTGAATTAATTGTCTAACGGATAATTTACACATTATATATACAAGATTTTTCTTCATATAATCATATAACAAAAAAAAAAAAAGGACACACAATATTTTTATATTCTTGTCATTTAGAGAGAAAACTATTGCGGTGTTTTCTAGTGAAGAAGAAAAATAATTCTTCATTTTTTATGTTTTTTAATTTCCCATTATAAAGCCATATAATGTTTATTTGTTTTATTTTTTTTTGGGTAAAAGTGGTATTAAATTTTATTTAGAGTTTCAAGTTTTACGAGTTTCAAGTCTTACAAGTAGTGCAAACTCGTTAAAACACGATAAAGTGGTTGATACAATGGATCAAGAATATATTGATACAAATTTAAATAATTTGAGGAGTGATTTGTAAATTGATTTATATTATTCAAAGATAATTGACATTAAAAATACTTGTTTTGTTGTGATGTCATGTGACCGAGATAAATGAGAAGTCAACAAACAAAAATATATCCAATATTTTTATATGGATATATTGATCATCTTGAATGCAAAGTCAAGGAAATCAAATTTATGTGGCATTAGAGGCAATGAAAACTTGGTCACTAAAAAGTATTTAAAGTCTCCAATGGTACTTATTATACAATAAGTATAAAAAGTCAAGTAAGTATTTTAACGAGTCAAATTATTAAAGCTCTTTGATTCTTACTTTATATATTTGAAATTTACTTTTGATGATGAAAATATGTGATACTTTTATTTACAAGTAATTTTATATTGTTGTATGGATACTTATTGGCCCATACTTGAGTTTTTAATCTATAAATTGTGATTCAAAAAAAGAAAAAAAAACGGAGGGGAAACTGTGAATGTCATATAAATTCTTATTATTGAATGTTTGTAAACTAATATTGGTTCACATTATTGTTTTATTAAGACTTGAAAAGGTCACATATTAATTTAATTAAGATCAATTATATTTTGAATGTCAATTAATTTTATGTGACTCATGTTGATATTGTTTGACATCCTTACTTGATTGTGGCATTATGAACAATCGTGAAAATAATAATCTTGTTAGCAGATTATTAATAAGATCAAGATTCATGATTTAATAAAGGATTTCTCATATATTATTTTCTATATGGAAAATAAAATTTTATATGTTATATTATTTAAAAGAAGCGTATCTTATTGATTAGTAGGCCACAAGAAATAAATTGTAAATGTTGATGATGAAATAATAGAATAATGCATGCCATCATTTTGTCTACAAGTGGTAGCAAAAATTATTTATTATATGGATTGTGGGGGCATAAAAAAATGCTATTGCATTAAAATTTTGTTTGAGAAAATTATTATGGAATTCGGGATAAATTATCATAATTTTTCTCATGATGTTTAAGTTATTTGTCACATATAAATGTTTAATGTGATGCTATTAGAAATATTTATAAGAATATTTTTATCCTACAAAAAGTATAATGATGCTTATGGAATTTTTTTAAAAAATATTGAGAGAATTGGTGGAATTAGTGACACTCCTGTTATATAGTTAAGGTACAATGGTGCTTTGATGATATTCTTTGATAAGTGAAATTAGAGACACTCTTATTGTATAATTAAGATATACCGATGTTGTAATGACATTGTCCGATAAGACAATTAGTGATATTTTGAGAAATTTAAATCTCTAGTTAAATATTGACATTTCTATTATATAGATGAGATACAATGATGTCAAATTTGTATGATAAATTAGAGATCGGAAAATATCTATATTCACTTTAATGTGATTATATAAAATATTTCCATTGCATTAGAAAATACAATGATGCCATCATGTTTTAGCGCAATGATAGGGATGTGAAAAATAAATATAATCATAATTGGCTCTTGTACGTGTGGTGAAACTTAAATTGGCTAAAAAGTCAAAGCCAATGAAAATGCAAGTGATTGCCAATGGAAAAAACAAGTGGATATTTTGCTTTGTCTAAAATAGTAAGGATTAAAAATTCCTATAACTATTCTTAGCACTAATAAATTGATTAAGTGCTAGTTACCTAATACTTTGGGTGTATATTGAATATTATGGGAGTAAACTTTAGCTAAAGTAAAAGGATTAGATGATACATCGAGAGGGATAAGACTAAGTCCATAAATGAATTAAATTACCTATGTTGATACTCTACCTAGGGATTGGAGATCCCAAGAACTAGATTCAAGAAGAAAAACGAGCATATAGTGTTTTGATTACATGCACAATTTATTTGAGTTACAATATTTATATGTCTATCCCTATGGTGTAGTGCATAAATCCCATAATGAAAAAGAGGTTAAGTTTCTTTAAACAAAGCTTTTAATGTGGTCTATAGTTCTTTTTTAATGAGATGTTAGAGTTATGAGAGTATCCTTGATAGACACACCTATATAAGTAAGAAAGTGGGGTCGCTTCGTATGAGAATCGAGCTAATTCTCTAGAACACTTATAGAAGTCGAGATCAAGCATAAGGTCGTTAATGTACTGGCTCCGAAACTCATCGTAGGTAACCGAATATAATATGTGTGATACAATATTTGTTTTACTTAAAAAGCCTTAGTTTAAGACAATTTTCACTATTGACTTGAGAGAAATATTGTTGAAACACTAAGTAATGGTTCAAGCCATTGGCACCCTTATTATGTATTATGTTCATTTACTTATACAAAAATATGGCTTATATTTTATTAAAAACATAAGTGGGGGATTGTTGGTATACTTCTTAATAAAATATTAAAAACTATATTAAGTGTTAATAAAAAATAATTAAATCACATGTTACTTAATTATTACTTATCATTTTGAAATTGTTGAAAGTTTCATTTTCGAAAAGGCGAGTTGCATATTCAATTGCAAACGACTTTCTTGATATTTACTTGCAAAGTTTTCTTGTTCTTATTGTTTTCGGCATTTATTCAATTAATCGTCCAACGAGATAATTTACACATGAGGAATTTTATAATACTCAAGTAATAACTAGTAGCATGTACGGTAGTTACTCGTGGATCCACTTGGAGGAGAGAGATAGACACATAAAATTACATCCGGACCCACCAAAAGTAATAAAAAGATTTTCACATTCGCTCGACTTTTTTAAAATTTTCTTTCTCCTTTTTTGTGTATATCTCTCTCCTCCAAGTGGATTCATAGACTAACTATTGTACATGCCACTAGTTACTATTTAAATATTATAAAATTTCTCTTTACACACTATATATACAGAATTTTTCTTCATATAATCATATAACAACAACAACAATAATAATAATAAAAGGGCACACAACATTTTTATATTCTTGTTATTTAGAGAGAAAACTATTGTAGTGTTTTCTAGAGAAAAAGAAAAATAATTCTTTATTTTTTTATGTTCTTTAATCTCCCACTATAAAACCAATAATATTTATTTGTTTTATTTTTTTGGGTAAAAGTGGTACTAAATTTTATTTTGAGTTTCAAGTCTTACAAATATGCAAACTCGTTAAGACACGATAAGGTAACCGAGCTGGTTTTATCCTTGAGATGGTGTGCAATATATTCTTGATCTATTGCATTAGCTAAATTTTGTGGATGACATGTATCGTCTTAAGAAAACAACCTTATTGTGCCTTGAACTAGTCACCTAAAAAATTCTTGTATAAAGCTATGTTGCTAGTTTGATCATCTTTATATCATGAAATATGATAATGTGATTGTAATTTTGAATTCTTTGACGATCAAGGTAAAAAGTTCTAATTCTTTTGTCCATCTTAATTTATGATAAATTTATTTATTTATTGTGTTAATTTTTACTATTTAATTATGTTTCTTTTGTGTGCTAGTAACAACAAAATTTGCATCTATGGCTCTCATTTTATTTCTCCACGTTTTGCTCTAAACCACCTAAATGTACCAGACGTGCTGTTTCTGATATATATGTACACGGGCATGGCCTCATCTTAAATCTTCCCCAGATTTCCCTAAATAAGTCATTTTGTTTCTTAACATTTGCAAAGCTCTGCAGCGATGTCTGTCAAGAAGGTTACTTCCTCGCTCATAATAATCACATTGCTGGTGGAAATAGGTTTTGATGAAGTTGGAGCTAAGAAGGGGCATGAGGAATTATTAGTAAAAACTTGCATGCCTGTGTGCATGAAAGAAGAGGGTGCTACTGTTACGGTTTGTCAAAAGAGCTGTGAGGATGCAAGCAAAATTATCTTAAGAAACCCAAGCTTTCTCGGGGCGTTAATAGGAAGTTCTGAACCAGGTTTAAATCCTCTCCTGTAGGATGATGTTTTATTAGGGTAGAAGACAATTCTCTCTCTTAGTGATGGTTAGAATTTAAATCTGAGTTAATCATCGTTGAGGAGATTACTCGTTAATTAGGATAATTTTTATGGTTAAATATTTAGTTTTATCTCTTATTCTTAATCAGTCTTATCGTGATAATGTTTTAGATAGTAATTAATAATATCTTTAAGAATTTGTTTCTTACACATAGGAATTCTAAAAGCCCTATACTTGTAACTATCATATCATCAATAAATATATTTTTCAATTAATTATATATCATTTGCTTTAGATCAATTTTAATGTCTTTATTAGGGATTAATCAAATATTTAGTCTCTGTACTGCTTTTACATCTTTTAAATGCGGATCCTTTGTTTTTTTTTTTTAATTATTGCATCATTGTATTATGAAATTTTTTTAAATGTTATTTAGTAACAAAAAAATGAGTAGTTTGAAATGAGAATAGAAATCCAGAAATCGAAATGACAATCTAAATTCAATTACCGTGTTTAATTTTTATCTCGAAGAATCATAATGAAACAATAGAGTAATAATTATTGTGTTTGACATAAATAAACATGAATTAAAATTACCATTGTATCTTTCAATAACCATAATAAATTTTATCATCAAAGCAATTAAAATAAAGAAAAAATTACATAAAGATTTTTCTGTTACTCTTTAAAAACAACCTAATTGTTTTACACACATTCGAATATGACCTACATGCATTGCCTCTATAATATATTTGTCGTCTTGTGGGCCAAATCCAGAGCGAGATGGCATAACTAGAACAGCTACACGAGTAGGATTTGAAAGAAGCATAACAGATCAATGAATCAATATGCAATTTAATAATAAAAATAAATACTCCTTTAAACGTAATTAACATATCCATCTTCCAAATGTCGTACCCACTACCAATGTAGTTACGAGGAACATTAACATTCCGCACAAATGCTTCCACATAATGTCCAAAAAATTGAAACCGAAAGCACAAACGCATAGCTTTTGCATCACCACTAGTAACTGCAAAAGGTGTCGCAGTATCATAGGCTGCTGAATTTCTGCTGAAAAACCGATGTAACTGGATCAAGACCAGCTTGTAGCAAAACAGTAATTGTTCTATCCATAACACACTATTTTTATCATGATAAATTAACAAGCAAATTCACAAGAAGTCCTCCAAAGCCTGGGCAAATCTGAATAAATGAAGAAAAAATAGTTCCCTACTAGAGACAAGAAGGGGAGAGGGAAAGAGACAGTTAAGAATGCATGTTTGAAATCAATAAATTGTCAAAAGCTGACATTGTTCAGTTTGAATGTATCTTATTCGCGTTTCTACCATCCACATGGTTGTTAATTTGATTGTTTCATGCAATTTCTTTCACTCCAAAACCTTGAGCTCTGTTTCTATCAGCTTTATCTTTTGCATACATTTCACATAATTTATCATAACAAACAACTTCATATACAATAGTGATACTTCATCACGACTCTACATAAAAATATTGTTTTAATAAATTGAACAATATAATAATAATAATAACAACAACAATAACAACTACATGAAATAAGGAAAAAAGGAAATGAACTAAATTCCTCTCTAGTCTATTGCATGAGCGATTGACTGAAAAAAAAAAAAAAAAACCGGGAACTTTGTAAATACAAATCATCTTGCAATATTGATTCATTTTCTTTTCAAATAAGATTAGTCAAAAAGAGCATATCTCATATCAGCATAATTTATAATAACCTGAAATAATGAGAAATGAGGAAAAAAATAAATGAACTTTACCTTTGTCCATCCCGCAAAGACTGATTTATCTCATATCACTATTTTTTTTTTTTATCATTATTCCATCCAAATCCACTGTCATTTTTTAAATCTCCAATATATAGTCAAGTTCCTTCTTCAATATCTTAATCTTTTACTTGATACATGGTTTGCCTTTAATATCACATCCTTATAGTTTTTCTTCCATAAGCTTCTCAACATGAGTATAGTCTCCACTTTTATAACCAAGTATGCATTTTTCGATTAATGCAAGTTTATTCTAAAAGGATATTAACTAGCACCAATTCTTCTTGACTATTTCAATTTCTTTTATTTCTACCCCTTTTTCGAATATGTTCATGCTTCAAATTAACTTGCTTCACTTCTGAATTTTCCATCCAACTAATTAAAGAATTACATAAGAAAATATATAAATAAAATAAGTACATAATGTCCACACCACATTTGGAATAAATAATATCCATGCCACCAATCAAATAATATAATTGTTAAAATGTTGATAGACAAAAACAAAATTAACAAAAAATATAAAATTAAACCAAATCTCTATACAAAATAAAAAAAATTAAAAAACTATAAAAATTATTTGCTTTGTCTTCTAACTCTCCATGAGTCATACATTTCTCTATCTAGATTATCCCTTCAAGTAGTCCCTTGATTTGTTGCTGTAGTAGTAGCAATATAATTTGTGTTATTACTATTGTCTTCTACTATGACATTCAAATATTGTTCTATTGGATCAACTATCATTTATTGTCGATTGAGATTGTGAATATAACAACAAGCTAATATGTCATCGGCTTGTGTATCGATAAGATAGTTGGATGTCTAAGTATTTTCTAATGCAACTTTAACAATCCAAATATCCTTTCAATTACATTTCTTGCTAATGAATGTTTCATATTAAAAAATTCTTCTCATGTATTTGGTTGATATCTCTTTTTTCATTTATGAAGGTGGTAATGCTGACACATATAGAAGATAAGAAATCCATTATAGTTTTTATAGCTAGCATTAACAAGATAATAAAAACCTAATAGATAAAAAAAAAAGAATAGTAAATATTAAATAGTATAATATGTAAATTTTCATATATAATTTTTTATACTTAGTGTCATAACTCATTTTGACCCCCCAATTATTTTCTTACAAAATTCAAAAAAAAAGAAAAAAAATTAAAAAATTAAAAAAAAAAAGAATGTGGCATAGTATGTTTTTCCATGATTTTTAAGCATTTTTATAAATTTTTAGAATTTTAATTTCTTAGAATTATTTTTTATTTTTTAAAAAAGAAGAAAGAAAAAATGAAAAAAGAAGAAAAAAAAAACAGGGAAGATGATTTGGGATCCAATTGAAAATAATGTAAAAAGTGAGGATTGAGTGACATTCAATTAGGGATATAATTGAAAAGGGATAAAAATTAAAAATATTGATTGAAAATTAATCAGTATGAAATTAAAAGAAATTAAGAGAATAAGGATTAAGTAATTTCAATTAAGGAGTTAATTGGAGACAAATAATAACATATACATTCAAATTGACAAAAAATAAATCAAGAAAGGACCTAAATTGATTTTATCCCAAACCTTAAGAAATCCCTATATAAATACCCTTTCATCTCATTTTTGGAGTCTCGATCACCCATCTACCTATCCCAAAAAACCCTAGCCTCCACATTTATCTATCTTCACTACAAAAAAAAAAAAAAAAAAAAAAAAAAAAAAAAAAAAACCGAGTTGGAAAAATATAGCCTCCACTATTCATCATCTTTTTCTCCTTTCAACCCATAAAAAAGCCCTAACTAAAAAAACTATTTATCTTCGTAGCAAGAACCATTTTCTCTTCAAAAAAAAAAAAAAAAAGAAGAAAAGCCAAACAACCCTTAAAGAGCACCGATTGACGAGTCAACCTATAGGTCAAATAGGTCGAAAACTCCTCACTTAAATTAGTTATCTTCCAGTCAATATCATCTCTAGCCACCACCACCAATAGATAGTCCACCATTAGATCAATTATTTTCAATTGGTTAAGGAAGAAGAAGACATCGAAGGAGGTTAAAATTGAGGAGACAAGGCCGATGACTTGACCCATTTAGGGACTCGACCAGTTCTCTCAATTCCATCCAAACCAATAATCCCCACCGTCACATAATCTTCTTCAGGACTCCAGCAACCATTCTTCCTTGTAATTATGGAAGACAACATGTGAATCATTGCCAATTGACTAGAACCTATTTCCCGACTAGTTTAAAACAACCCGAAAAAATCTCCTCGATATAGATAAAAATCAAACCTCATAACCACCATAGAGATGTTCCTCATGGTCTTTGAAGTAACTTGGTATCCTTTACATGCCTCTCTATGAATAGAATCGACATCGAAAAAGAGGAAGAGACAATCAAAACTTTGTCGTTGTCGATCTTCCTCCTCCATCAATGGCAACGACTTCCACCACCATAAAACGGTAGAGTAGAACCTCCTTTAGCTTCGTGGATCGGTTGATGTGCTTGAAGGATTTTCGGATGGTGGTTGGATGTCTCGACGAGTAGCGTTGGGGGTTTCTAGAGGTAGTTTCGTAATTTTGACATGAATAGGCATTTTGGTAATTTTCATGTGTAAGGGTATTTTGGTCATCTTACAACTAATTAGGGAAAATTATGTCATTTTTAAGAGCGAGAGACAATTTTGTCACTTCAAAAAGCATTCCACAAGTATTTTGGTCAATTTTCATTGACCATTTGTTTTGTTTCTCTTTATTTAATAATTGTATTATTTTATAGTAAATATTTAATTTTAGGCGTGTTCAAAAAATATAAAAATATTTAGATTGTGAATTTTATTTTAATGCATGGATCTTCATTTGGTTATGATGTCGGACTAACTAGTCTCCTATTTATTAGAGATGAATGGTGATTTCGATATATTTTGTCTAATTCTAAAAAATGCCCAAAAAAAAGAGGAAAAAAAGAAGTATAGAAATTGCTAATTAATTAAACAAGTCCCCTATTTAATAGGGATCGATATTGTTAATTGAATCAAATTAATCACTCTTAGTAATTAGGTCATTCACCTATATACCGATTATGTTGAGGCTTAAATTAGATGCGATGTTGAATTGATGAGACTCGGATATCGAGGTACGACCATTGATTCAATATGATGCCATAAAAAATAAAAAATATTAATTTTGCTTAGATTA